GGGCGACCTTAAGCAGGTGAAGAAAGATTGCCATTGGGAAGGCAAAGATATGGTGATTCTGATCCCCGAAGAGGACATCACTACTTACGTGAAAGGGTTCTTAAGTGTTTACACTTATCCTTTTACGCTGGGTCCCGTCGATCCTATTATCCTCGACTTCTACCGCCAATACTGAATAACCCTAGGCCAGATCCATCCTTCTTTCTAGTGCATTGTCATTTTTCTTCGATTATTCGTGAGCAAGGTTAAAAGGATGTCTTTTACCCTCGACCATCTCATTAGAATGTACAGTCCCCGTCTCTGTCGAGATTAATAAGGCTTCAACGTCGGGCTACCAAGGTACTATTCTCGAGCATATACGAGGACAAGGATCGAGGATGGATGGGCCGGTTTGTCCGAGTGAGGACTTCCGACATAATCCCGGCTGAGAAGATTCCATTCCCCGAAGAATGGAATATGAAGCATCGGGTACAAATCCACCTATAGCTTTTGTTTATTGTTTTGTTTCTTTTGCCTTTTCTTATTGACATCCTTTCCTGTGATGCAGCGGTTTCTTGGGTGCCTGGAGCAATCCCTGTGACGACCCAAAATCCATCAAAGGTTGTGATGGCACCGGACACCACCGTCAGGCAAGCCAACACCAAATAATTAGTAAGTTCTCATTTTAATATTTCTGAAATCATGAATTTCCTTCAATTTAACAAGTAAAAGATGAACTTTACAGAATAATAATAACATTTTCCAATTTCATGCTAAGTACCCCATAATCATCCCAGAACCCGGTGTCACAAGTGCATGAGCATTTATTAAGGGGTAAAATAAAATACAACTATCTGGAATACAAATTTTGGACAGAAAAAAATACCAATAATCTGAAGGAAACTCTGCTAGCTACAAATCGCACATAAGATGCAGCTCGCCTAAGTCCATGTGTCAATCACGTCGTTCCATCCGCAAGGCCACTAAATGTATATATGCATATACAACAAATTTACAGCAAGTGTATTATGAGTACGGAAATAATATGTACCCAATAAGTATCAAGTCTAACCTCGAAGAAGTAGTGACGAGAGGCCGACTCTGACACTTACTAGTGGTCCAATGTTATGATAATATGAAATTCTAATTAAGCATGATTTCTAGAGATAACAACAAAAGTCGGAACAACAAAATAGTTGAACAATTCTTTCAAAGAACCCCAAAACACTTCCTTCATTTAAAACAAACGATCTCTCAACAATGAATTTATACAAATTATAAAACAAAGGGTTTCAAATTATATTATCACACATAATTCCCACCAAAGATGTTCGGCCCGATCCAATATATATGTAAACTATGCACTGTCGAGGGTCGAACGACGCGAACCATAGATGCATCTATTTCTCCGCTCGTGAATCATACATGTGACGTGGTCCCCGCTAGCGAATCATACATGCGACGCGATCAAATATAAATTTAGGAAATTACCCCCCTCGCGAATCATGCCTGCGACGCGATCAAATATAAATTTAACATGTAAGTTATATCTCTTTCTTGATTCTATTAAAAATAATGGAAATTCGTCTTGAAGCTTTTTTTTGAGTAAATTACCTCGCTCGCGAAACATACATGCGACGCTGTTACCCATAGATTTCTTAAGCTATTATAATATTTCTCAATTCTTTTCGAAATTACAAACTTCAAATGAAAAACTTTTAAATCTTAGATTCTTCAAAATTTAATTCTTTCAAGACAATTATTGCTCAACCTAAATCTTACTTCTTATGAAGGTAAACAATAAACATAAATCGACGGTAATATCAACAAGGCATGGTGTAAACCTAGGCTACCCGGATATATGCATAGCTAGTAGCTACGTATGGACTCTCATCACCTCGTGTATACGTATCTCCCACAATTAAAAGTACATATTAATTTATTTCACCTATGGGGTTAATTCCCTTTTACAAGGTTAGAAAGGAGACTTACCTAGCCCCGAAATTTCATAACCGACTCCCAAGCCCTTCCAACCACTCCAACCGATGCACAACGCTCCAAAACTAGTCAATAATTATGCAAACCCGTAAATGTATACTCAAATATTCATGACAATTCAATTTATAACAATTTCTAACCCCAACCGAAAAGTCAATAAAAATCACCCTCGGGCCCACGTGCCCGGGTTCTGAAAATCTTCGAAGATAAACATTACTCATAACCTTACGAACTCAAATATATAATTTATTCTCAATTCCATATCCAACTTCGTGGTCAAAATCTAAGAATACCAATTTCTAGGGTTTTCTTCAAAACCCCAAATTTCTACTAATTTCCATGTTAAAATCTATACATAATCAATGTATTTAAATCACAATAGGTGGGGATAGCTTACCTTGCCATAAATGATGAAAAAACCCTCTTGAAACCCTCGAAGAATCGCCCAAACCAAGAGAAAATGAAAGAAAATGGGTCAAATCCCGATTTTTAAATAAACACATTACCCAGCGATTCCTCGCATCTGCGGTCACTTTACCGCTTCTGCGGTTCAGCAGGTGCGGACAAAATACCGCTTCTGCGGTCCTCCATCGGACCCCTCGATTCCGCATCTGCGATCGCCATCCGCTTCTACGCCTTTGCTTCTGCTGCTCCCCACGCACAGGTGCGGTCCTGCTTCTGCGAAACTCAACCGCATCTGCGGTCCCAGTCTTCTCCAGCCTAAGCCGCTTCTGCAAACCTCATGGTCGCTTCTGCGGCTCCGCACATGTGGCCCTAACCTCGCATGTGCAGTTACANTCAAATCACGTCCGATTGACCTCAAATTTTGCACACAAGTCACATTCAACATTACGGACCTACTTCAACTTTCAGAATCAGAGTCCGACCTTGATGTCAAAAAGTCTACTTTCAGTCAAACTTCAATTTCTAACTTCCGCCAAACGACTCCAAAATGACCTACGAACCTTCAAATCCACTTCCAGACACACACCCAATACTAGAATCACCATACTGAGTTATTCCCAGCCACGGAATCCCAAACGGACATCGATAACATTGAAATACATCTTAACTCAAATTCATGAAATTTTTCAAAAATACCAACTTCCACAATAGGTGCCGAAACGCTCCCAGGTCATCCAAAACCTGATCCGAACATACGCCCAAGTCTAAAATCATCATACGAACCTGTTGGAACCTTTATATCCTGATTTCGAGGTCATTTACTCAAAGTCTAACCTTAGTCAGAATCTTCCAATTTAAAGCTTCCGAAATGAGAATTTTCTTTCCCAATCAACTCCAAACTTCCAAAATTCCAATTTTGACCACCTGTACAAGTCGCAATACCTGAAGTGAAGCTACTCATGGCCTCAAACTACCGAATGATGCACTAGAGCTCGAAATGACCAGCAGGTTATTACATTCTCTCCCACTTAAACATATATTCATCCTCAAACGTGCTAAGAACTACGGCGGAGTTGTCTCAAATTACTGTTTAACACCTCGTGCACCTATCCGTGCTACCACAACTCAGTTGAGTACACTGGCTCGAGTAAATCTGAAGATTCCCTTTTTGTTTGGTCAAATTAGCTTTAGAGCCAAATTCCAGCATCCAGAATCTTCTACCAGACATGTTTCCAACATACGAACACTGTATTAATCACCACACGATGTACCAAAACATGAGTGCATACCTTTGCTGAATTCACACCATGCACCGCGTAATCACAAGACCACAATAATATCATCTGATAATAAACACCGACATTCCACGGATCTGATGTTCCCAACACACCTCGTGACTCACATAAGTCCTGTTCCAACTCCTGCAGCACCGCCACGACGGAAAAGATGTGTAGAAATTCAAAACCGACTGCTGATTCAATAATTCATTAAATCTCTCCTCTTGTCTAGAATCATCACCCATTATGAACCAAATAATGGTATTTGCTCCTTAATATACTTCATATAATCCGATCACACTGATCCCAGATCAAAAAATCTTGTCTCGCCCAGTATAAGCTGTCCAAGCAATAGGCCACCCTTGATACTGCCAAAAACCTCATATAGTGTCGCAATGTGCAAAATGTCACACCTTTTTTACCACCCGAGGGTATATAGGAGTTTTTCCAATTAAAGTGACATTATTCAAAATGGAATTAATTAATTTATCAGAGTCGCCACTTGGAATAAATTTTTTGGTGTCCCAAGTCACCGGTTTATTTTAAATCCCAAATCGAGGAAGTTTTCGACTTTATTTAAAAGTCTACGAACCAGAAATTCTAAGTAAGAAATTTTGTTAACCCGGGAGAAGATGTTAGGCATTTTCGGTTTCGTGGTAATAGCACGGTCGCTTAGTGATTTATACTTGGCTTAAATTATTTAACTACTCATTTTTAGGACCTATGTGCATTTATCTTTTACCACTTTTAAACACTTGATTTATTCGTAATTAAAGAATTGGATTACGCGTACGTATATTCTTTTCTTTTGGCGCGTCAAAAATCATGTCACGCGAACGTGTCCATAAGTAATAACGCTTTGTTTATTTATTAAGAAAGTTTGGTTGAAGTTGCGCGAACGCATCCCTCGATTTATTTTTAAAAAGAAATTTGTAATTATGTTACGCGAACGTATACATAATCACCACAATAGTCTAAGTCGAGCCTAAAGCAAACTACGAATATTTAAAAAGGATATTTTACTATACTAAGTTAGCACTTAATATGAGGGCCATAAGTTATGGGTTTTGTTTGTATATGGCACACCTCAACTCATCTCGAAATCTATTGGATTATACTCAACTACTACCAGTTCATTAATTAAAACCGCATAGCAGACTTAGCTAAGTCTGCTAAATTTCCCTTGTTCAAATTCATTTTTTGATGGGCCAACTTGATTTCTATTTAGAGAAACTTGGTCCAAAATATGTATCCAATCAATATACTTTAATTTACCCCTAATTAGTTTGGTCTGCTAATAGGATCCATCCAGTGAAAACCAATGCAACCTTACAAAGGATATGAACACAGAAGCAAGAGAAACTAGAAATTCTGGCAATTAAAGGAAATCCATTAACTTTCCTTCACTAAATTCTACATCGCTCAACATAATAATAAGATGAGGAAACAAAGTTGTCATTCACATTAACCATTTATCAAAGAATAAAAGTTCACTTCCCAATCTCCTGAAACAACACCTACATATCTAATATTCCTGAGAAACAGAGCCAAATTCAGCTTTCCCTTTTTGCCAATCTTCTTAGGAAAACAAATTCTGGTGAATATTGGGCAGAACCCCACCATTAAAAACTGTTGCAGACCCCAGCAAATCGCTTAATTAAAAGGAATTAAAACCATTTACAAAGTCACTATGGCAATAGTTCACATGATTATCACAACTATATCCATATTACAATGACTATTTTTAAGCCAACACTTTCAACATCAGACTATAACTACAATTCCCAGTAAATTCGAAAATCAACATGTGCTTCCACGGAAACTTCATTAATAATTGAATCACAGAAACAGAGAGGGAGAGAAAGCTATGCTGATCCGCCACCATTAAACAAATATTCGACCAATTCTCAACTAAAAAAAATGTAATTAAACTTGTATGATTGCATAAACCAGCGCAGCATTCTTAGCAAGAAAATAGGGACCGAATTAATCCAAAAGGCATCATGCTTCATGAAAATAACACAGAAATCAAAAATCGAGCAAATCCTCAAAGCTAAGCATGAACTCAACCGTTTTATTCATTTAGTGCAAGGACAAGACAGAAAAATTTCAAAACTAACCTGATCGAACAGAGCACAAGCTACAATAGGCCAAATAACGACATAAATTAACTCGAACGGAGCTCAAAGGAAGTAGAAACAACAAAACACAACTTCATCTTCTAAATTTGGAACAAAACTCGAACATCCAGAAATGACAGAGGTGATGTAATAGTAGAGAAGAGCAATAGCGAAGGCTGCCAAAAAAGGCTCGCCGGCAACCTTGGGTAATAGAGCTTCGACACGATTAATGGGGAAGCTTCGGAGCTGCTTCAATGGCTTTTTTCAGAGGTATTTCGGCTGGTTTTTGTGAGTTTCTACATGGTATATCGAAGGTGTTTCAATGGAGGTTTAGGGGATGGTTTTTGGTGAAGGAAATTAAAGCTCTTCGTGGATAAGGTCTGATCTTCTCCTCTCCGTTGCTGAGCGAGAAATGAGGGACCAGACCAAAGGGAAACGACGCTCCAGTTCTCAAAATGGGTAAGGGATTTGATATCGTCCTAGGTCTAGTGTCTGTGTAGTTGAAGATGAGTAATGGAGAAGAGAGGGGAGCCCTAGGTTGCGCCGTTCTATCGAAAAAGGGGGAGGGGTATCTGATCTTATATCTTTTTGTGTCTAAAAATCTGTCCTTTTAATGTTAGGTCTAGGATCATATTAGGTTAAGGTTGGGGGGGTTTTAGCCTATTTTGGGGGGAATTAGGCCATCAGAAATGATTTTTAGCCCAAATTCGAACCAAGACCAAATCAAAACCCGTTCTTTCTTTTCCTTGATTTTTGCAATGTTAGCCATTTTAAACTCTAATTTAGTTTAATCTAATTTTTGTATGGCTAGCCTATTTATTTATTTTGCCTAATGATGGATTAATGCAACTAATTAATTAATTAACCTAAGAATGCAATTTTTTGATTTTTAGTTATTTAAAAGATGCATACGATAATATAATTAATTCTTAAATGCAAATTAAACCTAAGATAGCCTGAAATTAAAACGTGACAATTTTTTATGATTTTAAAATATAAAAAATGTATGGAATGCAACTAAATAAAGAAAAACTCCTAAAAATCAATTAAAATTATTTTTGGTCTATTTTTTAGAGTTATTTTCATGTAGGGCAAAAATTAGGTGCACACAGCTGCCCATCTTTGCTCGGAAACATGAAGAGTTTTCGGGCAAAGATAAAGTGAGCAACTACGAGCAATTTTTGCCCGTTTGAAACTCCACTTGGAAGCATTTTGAAAAAGTTTGACCGAACCTTGCTTCGGAGGTTGCCTACATATCCTTGGCTTTAAAGAAATCATGTCAGTGTAGTTCTGGAAGTTTTGGTAGATGGGACTACCGGAAAACTGTGATTTCACTATTGTTGCTGCTGTTTCTGCTTGCTTAGCTCCTTATCACACCAAAATGAAAGATGAAAAGTTAAACTAGCTAAGCCTATCAACTACGAGTTACAAGATTTCTATCTATAAACCTTCTAAAGCTTGATCTTGAGTCTTGGATGGTTCTTCCTACAGACTCTGATCTGAATCTTGATGCTTGTTAGTTCCAACCGCTGGTTCATTCTTCTTCAGCTTTTCGGATCAAGGCGGGACTATGCGAAACTTGTGACTTCAATCTTATATTGGGTAGTCTGCATCTTTTCTCCACTTCTACACTTAGAGTTCAACTTCTTTTCTTGTTTCTTCTTTTCTTTTATTTGGTTGAGACTTCTTCTTTTGGTCATCTCAAATCTTGTGTCTCACGGTGAAAACTTGTTCAGGCACCAAAGCAAACAAACAAACGAAATTTTCTGCCCCAATTTTTACTAGGAAAATTTTGTGAGTTATTGGTAACAAAAAATCTAAACTATTTCTTTATTGAAAGTAGTAAAATCAGGATTGTGTATCCTTGAGAAAAGAGATTAGGGAGTGGAGTCATATATCTATGATGAAATCAACCAGGGAGTGGAGACCCTATATTGGAAAAGAGATTAGGGAGTGGAGACCTTATGTCTAAAATAAATTCAACTATGGAGTGAAGACCCTATGTTGGAAAAGTGACTAGGGAGTGGAGACCCTATATTGGAAAAGAGATTAGGGAGTGGAGACCTTATGTCTAAAATAAATTCAACTATGGAGTGAAGACCCTATGTTGGAAAAGTGACTAGGGAGTGGAGACCCTATGTCTAAAATAACTTCAACTAGGGAGTGGAGTCCTTATATTGGAAAAGTAGACTAGGGAGTGGAGACCTTATGTCTAAAGTAAATTCAACTAGAGAGTGGAGACCCTATGTTGGAAAAGTGACTAGGGAGTGGAGACTCTATGTTGGAAAAGTGACTAGGGAGGGCAGACCCTATGTCTAAAATAACTTCAACTAGGGAGTGGAGACCCTATGCCTAAAATAAAATCAACTAGGGAGTGGAGACCCTATGCCTAAAATAAAATCAACTAGGGAGTGGTGACCCTATGTTGGAAAAACGACTAGGGAGTGGAGACCCTATGTTTAAAATAAAATCAACTAGGGAGTGGAGACACTATGTTGGAAAAGCGACTAGTGAGTGGAGACTCTATATCTAAAATAAGTTCAACTAGGGAGTGGAGACCCTATGTTGTAAAAGTGACTAGGGAGTGGAGACCCTATGTCTAAAATAGATTATATTAGGGAGTGGAGACCCTATGTCGGAAAAGTGACTAGGTAGTGGAGACCCTATGTCTAAAGTAAATTCAACTAGGGAGTGGAGATCCTATATTGGAAAAGTAGACTAGGGAGTGGAGACCCTATGTCTAAAGTAAATTCAACTAGAGAGTGGAGACCCTATGTTGGAAAAGTGACTAGGGAGTGGAGACCCTATGTCTAAAGTAAATTCAACTAGAGAGTGGAGACCCTATGTTGGAAAAGTGACTAGGGAGTGGAGACCCTATGTTGGAAAAGTAACTAGGGAGTGCAGACCCTATGTCTAAAATAACTTCAACTAGGGAGTGGAGACCCTATGCCTAAAATAAAATCAACTAGGGAGTGGTGACCCTATGTTGGAAAAGCGACTTGGGAGTGGAGACCCTATATCTAAAGTAAATTCAACTAAGGAGTGGAGACCCTATGTTGGAAAAGTGACTAGGGAGTGGAGACCCTATGTCTAAAATAAATTCAACTAGAGAGTGAAGACTCTAGGTTGGAAAAGTGACTAGGGAGTGGAGACCCTAGGCTACCATATTTTTTTTTAATTTTCTTCTCTCTCTTTTTTTTTTAATTATTTTATTTAAGAAAAAATGAGTAAGAATGCAGAAAAGAATTCGGAAGAGACTTCCTTTTTTGGATTGATTATTGCTGCAATGCTGTTCTAGCCCTTGCGCAATTTCTTTTCGGTTGCACCTGCTTCTTGTAAGGTTTCTTTGGATTTGCACTTGTTTCATGTTTTCAAACAAAGAACAATCTGTAAGTTTGAAATGGTGGTTGGTTTTATGGCCTTGACTGTTTCAATCACTTACTCTCGGCCCTACTTCTTTGATGAAGATCTCAGCTGCAACTGCTCGTTCCCTGAGGACCGATTTCATTTGCCCTGGAGAACCTCTGGTTTTTCCAGACTTTGCCATGACGGTTTGTCAAGGGGGACTTAAGCTTTCAACGTTTTTTTGCCTTTGTGGGCCTTTCCTTTTTGACTTCCTTTTCTTATTCTTTTTCTTCTTCTTTTTCTCTTTTTTTTCTTTTTCTTTTTTTTTAACTTCGGAGTATTGGGGAACTTTTGCTCCTCAAACTTTGGCGCAACGGCTAGTCGCGTGGGACTTAACCTTTTTCAACTTTGTTTTGCCTTCGTAGGCCTTTCATTTATGGCTTCTTTTTTCCAACTTTAATTTCAGATCATTTGGGTACCTTGGCTTTTCAAAACGTTGCCGAGCCGATTAGCCAAACGGGACTCAACCTTTTCAACTTTATTTGCCTTTATAGGAACTTCAGTTTGATTTTCTCTTTCCGAGAGTTTTGATTTCGAAACATCGGCCGACATGGCCAGTCGAGGTTGACTTGATGCCCCTGACGAGGTTGGGTGCCCTTTTGCACATTAGCTCATGTCAAATGAAAGCCCTGTAAATCAGTCTTGCCATCCCTTCTTTGTCTCAATTTCAGAATAGAGTTAGACCGAAAGGGATTCAAACGAAAAACAAACAAAGGAATTGACAAATGAATTTAGACAAGAGGTATCCCTTTCGAGGAAAGGAAAGAAGGACTTATCTGGAGTACATGCGGACTTCAATGAACATGACATGCCTTTTGGACTGCATGCCTAATCTGTGTAAACCGTCCGACTCTCAGAAATTCATCACAACTTTTGCCTCAAAATCAAGAACCTTGCCAGGACTCTGTCGATGCCGATGGCTGGGAGGATCCTCTTTTCGATCAGGGATGCCCTTTCCCGGTTTTCACGAGCTTACCTCTCTCATTTCTCTTCTCACCATTGACTTATAATGCTCTTTGCGAGTTTTCACTAACAAGATTCTCTCATTTCACTTTCTCTTCTTACTGTCGCCTCACGATGCCCGTGTGGGTTTTCACCAATAAGACTCCCTCATTTCATTTCTCTGCTTACCATCGCTTTACGATGCTCATGTGGGTTTTCACCAATAAGACTCTCTCATTTTATTTCTCATTTTGTTGTATCAGATCCAAGTTACTCTATCCTCCCATTTTGAACCTCTTTGCCGATTGATCAGAAGGACTTGAACAGAGTTTTGCAGTAAAAAGGATTTGGATTGAGTTACAACTTTGGAACCTTTCGGGCGAAACCATTACCGAACCATTATAACATCTGCCCCAATTTCACTTTTGGGGAAATGTGGATTTTTATTTTGGTGTCACTGAACCCCAGAGAGAGGCCGCCTACGTATCCTTTCGGAATCAAGTCGAACGTAGTTTAGGGAGCTTTGTTTTTTTTTTTGATTTTCTTCTGTTTTGTTTTGTTTTCTCTTTCTTTTTCCTCTCTTTTTCATTTTTTTTCATTTCATTTTCTTTGTATTTTCTTCCTTATTTAAAATTTTTCTTTTTCTTCTCCTTTTTTACACTTTTCATCTTATTTTTTTTATTTTTTTTCAATAACACTTTCAGGTTCCAAAGAGGGTAATCAGAGAAAAGTAACCGGCTCAAATGGTTTGCAAAGGGTTGATAGTATTTGGGTAGCGAGAATAAAAGTCTTTTTTATCCCAACCAGATAACATTTATATTATATAGAGGATCCAACATAGTACCTTTTGGCTGCATTTGCATTGACAGTCGTTTCAGGACATTTCCTTCGATGTTTTCCAGGTACAACGCTCTTTTGGGTAGTACCCTTGTTACCATGTATGAATCTTTCTAATCTGGAGCCAATTTTCCTCTAGTTGTTCCAACTCTTTGTTTTATTTCCTTAAACTTATCTTCAATGCAATCTAATTCTTGATTCATTATTTTAAAGTCTGACAGCGTTTTAGGATCTGGGCATGAAGTCCGCAAGCATGTCATGTTATTGAAATCTGTATTTAACAGAACTAAAAAGAGAATAAGGAAAACGACAAGATTAAGAAAAGAGACATTCCTGGACAATGAAATATTAATTTCATTTGATTTTTTTTCAATTTTTTGAAAATAGAAGGGTTTACATCGAAAAGTAAGACAATAA